ATTAAACAAAACAAACACATCGCACAGGTAGGTCGATAGTCGATAAAATTGGACAAATGATCGAATGACCGGCATGTTAGCAGTCGTCGTAACATCGCCCAGGAGCTAAAAATCGACCATAAAACTGTTTTAAACTATTTACAATTGACCGGAAACTGCTAAAATTGGCCAACAGGGAAGGTGTCGTGTTCCACCAGGACAATGCTAGGCCACATACATCTACAGTGACTCGCCAGAAACTTCGGGATCTTGGTTGAGGTGTTATAATGCATCCGCCATACAGTCCGGACTTGACACCAAGCGACAAAATTTGCCAAACCTTTGATGCAAAAAGAAACGCAATTTCTCAGTGTTACACCGTCGACAGACGAGGGCGTTAAAGCTTCTTGATTTTAATTAATTTTTTACCTAACCAACGAAAGATTTTGCATTTAGGACGATAAATACGAAAAAAATATTAGAATATCTTCTAATATTTTTTTTTTTAATTTACATCTGGATGAATTCTATAAAAGCAGCTAGAACATTGAAACACATCTGAAATTTGCCTTTGTTATAGACTTTACAAACATAAAAAATTGACAACAATCAATTGTCATATTGATTTTGATGTTGGCCATTAACAACACATGTCTACGCAATTAATCTTTTCAATAATTAGAGTTTAATATTCAATCTTTTATTCGAGAATGTCATCTACCATTCGGTGGAATTCAAATTATCCAAACGATGGCATTCAAATTGTGACCACATCGATTAAAATCCTATGGAAAGGATCTTCAAAATACTAATGCTCATATTGTAGATATATCCTTCTACCTACCTGTATAAAACCCGAACTCAACTTACCACTTTAAATAAATTTCCAAAATTTGTGTCCTATAATAGGTCATATTAGTTATGAAAATAATAAAATCTCACATGTTTACTGTTGTAAAACATCGGACGAAATTGTAATTAATTCCGTAGCCGAGCGATAATGGGTGCTACTACAATACTCAGCTGATTTGATTGTATCGTAATACTCGTATCAAGTTTGATAGGACATTTTTGATTTACCCAGTAGGAACATTTTGTACACATTATATTTGAAATAATAAATTTTCATATTAGGGCTTTAAATATATAGGGAACCAGAAAAAAATATAAATTCGCAAGATTTTCATTCATTTTTTTTTTTTAATTTTATTCTAAAAATGCAAAAATATTACATTTTGAAAATAAATCATGCCCCAATCCCACACACTTTCGATTTTTTGCCGGCCAGCGTCCATAAACTAGTCATCGATACATCAACTAAGAATTGTAGATTGATCTTCAAGAAAAAAAGCCTAAGAGCGAAAATTGTTTAAAAGAAGATCTCGTTTTTATACAACAGCCATCCAAAAAGGATTCATTGCTATTTTTAGACGGTGTCTACATATGGTGTATGGTCCTATACCTTCTATTTTAATAGAAAGTGGACTAGCTGGAGGAGGACCCGCCTCCAGTATTTAAAGAATAAAAAAAAAAAGATTCTAAGCGTTATTTAATATTAAAAGAATCGGTACAACGTGTTTCCCTCCATTTTGTAATAATCCCAAACGACCCGAGCCTTACTCGGCCAACTTCTGTCACCTCAACCCATTGTGTAAAGCAATATCACTTCAACAATAACAACTCGTTGCTCGCCTCTATACTGTTTGTGTTATCCAATATAAATATAAGTGTTGACGTTCGTCGTAGCACAGCAAACACTACCCTATAGATGTAGAACCCCCACAAGAAGTCCATACGTCTGGATCGGAACTTGTACACAGATCAACCTTTCAAAAACTGTAATTCGATAATTACAGATGTTCGTCAAAACCATGAAACCATCGAACCCAACAAGAAATACACCTGAAACTGCGAATTCGGTTTTAATACCCTTTCAACAATTCGTTTAAGAATTCACATGTAGTGCCGCCCTTTAGAAATTGGTCGAAGTATTTACGGAAAATTTTTGGTGTTTTCAACCTAAAATTAAAAAAAAAAATCGTCATAATCGGACATACATGATTGGTCCTTGCATCATTGATTACAGATAAATAACCTCAATCAGCATTTATCTGGACTTCTGTTTGCATTATCTTTGTCAAAACTATGAATCGAAATATCGATGTCGTTGTGGTTTCCGAAATCATAATCTAAAGTTAGTCAATTCTGTCTCGGCTCGTTATTCCAGTTTTTAACCATATATGACAGAGGCATTTTACGAGTTTCATTTCCGAAAATGTATGCTTTGAAACGGATTTTATCCAACAATACTTCAGATTTAAGATCGTAATTTGATTTGATGTTTTTATAAAGCTTGGGCCAAAACGATTGCCTCGCACATCCCACAATCTGACATTCAGAAATCGGCTCCAAAGTATTTAAAATTAATTTCATCCAATTATATATTGGGTATTTAAATCCCTATTAAATTGGCTTATAATCAAACCAAATAGAAACCCCCTCCCTTTCACCTCCGGACTAGGAACACTCTATGCAAAAAAAAAAAAAGAAAATTTAATGAAATTGAATTTTTGTTTGTTTTGATAGCAATCACATTTATATGTACATAATGTTTCATTTTATTATTATTATTATTAAATTTAAATATTGAAAACAAAAAAAGATGTGTTAAATAAGATTTTCTTTTTCTTTCGAAATGAAAAAAAAATTGCAATTAAATAATTTAAAATGAAAAACAGACAATTCAATGAGATTTTACAAAAATTAGAAACAATGGAAGAGAAGAAATAAATAAAAAAGGAAACACATTAAAAAAAACACGTTATGTGATGACGGCACAAAAATCTATGCGATTTGTAATAAAAAGAAAAAATGAGGGCATTAAATATGATTTACAAATTTTTTCAAAATTATTTATTTTCATTTGAAATATAGTGTGACCTTTTTCCCTTTTTATTACAAAACGCCTTGATTTCCATTGCCATCACATAACAAAACCTGTGAAAGAGAAATAAGATATGGGATTTGCATTGAATATGCTTTGTGGCGTGGAAAAAATTACACTTTAAAAGTAAATACGACAAATGTTCAACAAACATATGTGTTTTTCTTGTTTTGAGTGAAATAAAATATTAAGTGAAATAAAAAATATATGATTTCATGTTTGAGAGTTATGGTTTTTTTAATAATAACAAGGACAAAAAGAAATTATGAACATTTTTCTTGTTTTTTATGTTATTTTTTTCATCATTTATTGTTTTCTTTTATGTTTTTTTCTTCTTCTTACGCCTCATCTTTTACTTCTCCATCTTCTTTTGTTTGTTTTGCCATTCCTGGGGGGTTTTATTTTTAAGTGCTATTTGTTTTTTATATGTATAATAATTATTATTATTTTTTATTTTTATTTGTTTATAGGTTATGTTCTAAAGTCTAGACCATGTCTGCTAACACACAATCTGTCCACATTCAGTATCGTTCTTGCTCTTCCTACTCTTCCTTTTTATCATCAATATTATATCAATCATAAATTTTGCATTACATCATTTTGCTTTTTTTCTGTTTTGTTTTTGTTTTTTTTATTATTATTGTAGTTGTTTTTTGTTTTACTATTTATTATACTGCACTTATACAACAATTTTAGAATTTCCATTTTTTTCGGTTTTTTGTTTTTTTTAATTTATTATTATTTCAGCATAAATAGCTTAATATTCTGTTCTCAATTTCGAATTTTATTTTTTTCTTTTTTGTATTATATAAAATAATAATAATTATATTTATAATAATAATTGTTATTATTATATTTTTTGTTAATATTCTTCTTCTTTTTTGTTTATTTATATTATTTTTATTTTTTATTACTGTAGCAAAAGCTGTTTTTTTCAATCAAGTCTGCTGTTAGACTCCAGACTTGAGTTGTTATTTCTTCTTCTTGTTCTGTTAACGTGGGATGGATGGGATATGGGGGGGTTGTTTGCTTGGTTTTTTTGGAGGAAAAAGAGAAAAGTTGGTTTTTGGCCTTGTCTACACATGTGGTTGTTGTTCCTTACTGCTTGTATTGAATTTATTTTTTGTAACATTATCTGTATGAATTTCTTATAATAGATGAGTTTTGTTTTTCAATCTAAAAATTACTTTTCAATTTCTTTCCAGTTGATTTTTTTATGTTTATGTTTTAAATGTAAATGAGTTTATTTGTAGTTTTGTTTTGTTTCATTATGTTCATTTTTATTTGTTGGTTTTTTATTTTTTGTTTAATTAATAATTAAATAGGCATAAGTTAAATCATATTAGAAGTTGTTGCATACACGACGACGACGACAATGAACGTACGTGCCCACCTTGGCGGCTGCTGCAGCTTTATTTCCTGTTCCAGGTTCGTTTTGCTTTCCTTTTCAGCAGCTTCAGCTGGCATCTAGGCAGGCTACTACACTTAGATCCTGTTCCTTGTTCATACTTCTGTCTTCTTTCTTCTTGGTAAGGGGGTTTCTTGTGTATGTAGTATTTATGTGTGTTGTTTGTTGGTTTCTTGTTGTTGTATAGCTCGTTTCTTAAGATTTAATTGTTTTTGTTTTTTATATTTTACTTTTTTTCTTGTTTTTATTTTCAATATATATATAATAGATAGATTTTTTTGTTTTCATCTTTTTTTAGGTTTCTCTGTAACAGGCGCTCTACGCTCTATTTTTATGATGTTTGTTTTTGTTTTTTTGTTTTCTTGGTTACCTAATAGGCTTATAACAGTTTTTTGTTTTTCATATTTTTTTTATTTTGTTTTCTTGTTGAATTAATACGATTTGTTTTTTTATTTGAATATTTCCTGATGTGATCGTGTTGTTGTTGTTTTCTTTTGTCGTAAATTATTCTTATTCTCTTGTTGTTGTTGTTTCTTTAATGTTATAATTTTTTGTTGTTGTTGTGGTGTTGAGTCATCATCGGCATTCTCATCATCATCATCATCCTCACTCAGCCTGTATTCTCAAATCAACAACACAATAATGATGAAGCAGCATCAGCGTCCGTCTTTAGTTCTCTACCTTATCCGCCTTGATTTTGGCAAAGGGATTAACACCGGCCGCAGCTTGCGCTGAACTGCCACCGCTTAACGCTGATTTATTATCGCCAGCCGCTCCCAGGGCATTGGCGGTGGCAGCTCCGCCGGCACTGCTACTATTCGATTGTTGCGAATTTGTGTTCTGCTGCTGTTGTTGACTGTTGGCGCTGTTGCTACCGCCGCCGACTGTTGTTGAGGCACCACTAGCATTTGTTGTTGGATTTGCTGCCTGTAAGCTCTTGGTACGATTGAGCTCCAATTCGTGTAGTTTCTTCCATAGCTCTTCACTATCTCTTTCGCGTTTTTTCTCTCTGTAAAAATAAAAGAGGAGAGGGGAGAATTAGCAAAAGAAAAATAAAATAAAAATCATTAAATCATGAAATTTCAATAATTTATCTGCAATCGTAGAGAATTAAAATCGGAATATTTTTCCACAGTTGTGCTAATTTATCTAAAGATAATTTGGATATTTTATCTAATAACAATTGGAAGAACTTTAATATAGATATTTTGAAAATGTATCTAAGATAATTTGGATAATTTATCTAAAAATAATTTGGATAATGTATTTATAGATAATTTGGATAATTTATAATTAATTTGGATTATTTATCTATATATCTATATAAATAAAAAATAATTTGTATAATATATCAACAGATAATATTAATAATTTATCTATAAATAATTTGGATAATTTATCTATAAATAATTTGATAATTTGGGTAATTTATCTATAGATAATTTGGATTATTTAGGTAAAGATAATTTTGATAATTTGCATAATTTATCTACAAATAATTTGTATAATTTATCTATAATTAATTTGTATAATTTATCGATAGATAATTTGCATAATTTATCTATAGATAATTTGGATAATATAAATAATTTGGATAATTTATCTATAGATATCTTGAATAATTTATCTATAGATAATTTGGATACTTTATCTATAGATACATTTGGATTATTCATCTAAAGATAATTTGTATAATTTATACACAAATGTGGATAATTTGGATTATTTAGGTAAAGATAATTTTGATAATTTGCATAATTTATCTACAAATAATTTGTATAATTTATCTATAATTAATTTGTATAATTTATCTATAGATAATTTTCATAATTTATCTATAGATAATTTGGATAATATAAATAATTTGGATAATTTATCTATAGATATCTTGAATAATTTATCTATACATTTGGATACATTTGGATTATTCATCTAAAGATAATTTGTATAATTTATACACAAATGTGGATAATTTAACTCCAGATAATTTATCCACAAACCTTAAACAATTTAACTATAGATAATTTATCTACAAACGTGGATAATTTACCTCTAGATAATTTTAACACAAGCGTGGATAATTTATCTATATATATATATATATATTTAATTTATCACTTATATGAACATAAGTTATATTCAGATAATTTTAACACAAGTGTGTATAATCCATCTCCAGATAATTTGTCCTTAAACGTGGATAATTTATTTCTAGATAATTTATCCATTAACGCCAATAATATAAATCTAGATAATTTATCCACAAAAGTGGATAATTTAAATATAGATAATATATCAACAAATGTGGATAACTTATCTTCAGATAACTGTAACACAAGTGTGTATAATCCATCTCCAGATAATTGTAACACAAACGTGGATAATTTATCTACAAATGTGGATAATTTATTTTTAGATAATTTATCTATCCAAAAATGTGGATAACTTATTTCTAGATAATTTATCCACAAACGTGGATAATTTAACTACAGATAATTATCCACAAAAGTGGATAATTTAACTATAGATAATTTATCCACGCACGTGGATAATTATCTCTAGATAATTTTAACCCAAGCTTGGATAAATAACTTCAGATAATTTTGAAAGATATTATTTAAAACCCCACGCTTTAGATAACCCTTGAAAAAATAAAATTTCTATGCATTGGGAAAAATCTCTAGCTCTGATAGATAAAGTATTCAATAAAAGTATGGATAACTTATTTCTAGATAATTTATCCACAAACGTGGATAATTTAACTAAAGATAATTATCCACAAAAGTGGATAATTTAACTACAGATAATTTATCCACATACGTGGATAATTATCTCTAGATCATTTTAACACAAGCTTGGATAAATAACTTCAGATAATTTTGAAAGATATTATTTAAAACCCCACGCTTTAGATAACCCTTGAAAAAATAAAATTTCTATGCATTGGGAAAAATCTCTAGCTCTGATAGATAAAGTATTCAATTCTTGATCTGTGGTTCGACACTTACTTTTGCCTCTCCGCCTTATAACTGGAGGTAAGTTCATCGAATAATTTCGAATTCATTTCCATAAAAGTCTTTAATACATTATAGACTAATGCCACAATTGTTTGATTCCAGTGTTCTTTGCTAATGCGATATAATGCCGGGAACATAATGGGCATTATAACGGCATTGTTTTCTTCAATTAGGGACATAGCATATTCATTGTTCCACAGATAAAGAGCACGCTCGGCAACCTGGAAAAATTAACACAGTCAGAAATAAGGACCTCTTGTATGATAATTTGGAACTCACCTGAAAATGAGGACTCGATACACATTTGGCGATTTGACGAAATAGTGGTTCTTGAATTTTGACAAACTGAGGTGGATCAATAACATCGAGTATTTCCTCAATTTCACCCAAAAACATGACTTCCTTTTGCGAACAGGTCTTTGGCCAAAATTTCAAAAGGCCCCGTACAACCGGCTCCGTTAAAAACGGATCCTTTTCGAGAAATTGTACAATACAATAGGCCAACTGAGCATGATACAGCGATAGGCATTTCACTTTGTGCAAAGGAAGCAACACCTTAACTAAAAACTGTTTATGTTCGGCTTTAAGCGGTAGAGCGAAACCATTGATAATGCTGCAAACAAAAATAATCAAAATTATTATGGTATTCAAATAAAAAATCTATCTTTTGTTGTCTTACCTTCCCAGAATTTCCAGTAATTCACCGACACCATTAAAATGCTCCGTTTCATAGATAAAACGCAAAAATATATTATTGATTTGCTTTCTTATAAATGCTCGTAAACCTAAAAATTTGCCATAAATACGATGCAAGACCGTTTTCAAAAAATCACGTTCACGTGGATCTTCCGAATCGAAAAGTTCCAAAAGCTAAAAAGAGACAATGAAGAATATTTAAATAAAAATAAATTGCATTCGGAACATCTCTGGTGTCGCATCGCTACTCACTTGTAAAACAAACTTTTGATCAATAACACGTTTACCGATGGTAGCCTGAAAATCTTGCGATTCCAGAAACCGCAAAAATACCTCATAGACCAATTGTAGGTGCGGCCAAGATGCCTCCAATGTTGGATCATCTTCTTCGGGATCAAAATCGGGATTTTCACTTGGTGGCAATGTACGAAACAAATTGCATGAAATCTGGAAATGAGGAATAAAAAATAAATATTGGAAAAAAATTGAAAAATACAGAATTGTTTTGTTTGTTTATAAACTGCGAAGAAATCTTGAAATAGACAGGAAGGTCCTTACAGAAATGAGCTTGAATGACTGGTCTTCTTCTTGTGAAGCTGTAAGTTCTTCTAAGAGATAAGCTAAAGGCCTGCTAATGCAAGCTAAAACCAATTTTCGAAGCACTTTTTCATTGTGTTTCATGTATGGCGGATGACCCATTTTATGTTTTGGCCGGTCATAAAGGCACAGGGTTGAGCCGATGTGTGCATGATCGCATTGTCATGGTGCACAATAATTCATCTTTTCCTGTTCCTTTGTGGATGACCTGAAGATCTTTCAATGAAGAAGAGAATCTGAAAAAGATCTTCTTAGGAAAAAGTGAATATGGTCACTTAAAGAGGAACTGAGGTGGATGAAACACTTCAAATAAGAAATGGAAGGCCTTCGCATACAAGAGCTAAAGGAGGATTTCTTTTTAAATTTTTAAAGAGCTGACTAAGGGCTATTCGTAGAGAAGCTAATAGGAGATCTAATGAAGGTCTAGTCCTAGTGTTGCTGAAGGTCTTTTACTCAAAAATTTGCATAGAAGAGATAAAAAGTGTTTTGGTCACAGACAAGTTTAAGCCTTGTTATAGAAGAACTGAAGGTATTCTTTTTATAGAGGAGTTGTTGGATGGTCTTCTCATTGGACAGCATCGATACAAAATCAGAAGAAGGTCTTATCATAAAAGAGTAGAAGGAGTTGAAAAGGGGTTCTTATAGAAAAACTGAAAAAGGTATTCTCATAGGAAAAAGAAAATGGAAAAAAGGTCTTATCTTAGAAGATCGGAAGATGGTTTTCTCATATACAGTCGAAATCGCTTATAACGGTCAAAGGATTGGCGAAATGGCCCTTATAAGCCACGTGCGTTATAAGCGATATCAAATAAAGGGCAGAGCTTTTCTCGGGATTTATGGATACCGTCGTTATAATCGATATATCGTTATGAATGTTGAATGTTAATTTCGACTGTATGAACAGAAGATGATATAGTCGTAGAGGATCTGATCTCATAGAAGAGCTGAGGATTTCCTTAATAAAGAATAGCAAAATGTCCTCCAATCAGAAGTTCATTGAAGCAAAAAAAATTAAAAGGGACTTCGAGTGAAAGTGGTTAATGAGGCCTTCTTGTAAATGATCTTATAATTGATCTGAGAACTTCTTATAAAAGATCTCAAGGTCTTCTTAAAAACAACATCATTTAAAGAAGGGTTTTTCATTCAAGACGCCCTGGAAAGTCTTATCGCAATGACCTCAAAATTCATCTAATCACAGAAGAGTTGGAAAGCCGTATTCCCTATAAAAGCTAAATATGTTCTTCTTACAGAATAGTTGGTAAAGATATTATCGTTGAAGAGCTGAAGAAGGTCTTCTTCACATAGAAGAGCTTGAAGAATATCTTTCATAGAAGTGCTGAAGAAAATTTCCTCATTGAAGAGGAGGAATATTGAAGAGGTATTCTCACAGAATAGCTGATGGCCTAATTGAGGAGGTGAAAAAGTCTTTTATATACGAGTTGAAGGTCTCCTGGATGAGGACAGCTTAGTGATCTACTCTCATATATATATCATCTTTAGGTAACATTTAAAGATCAACAAATTTACATGTAGGAACACAAAAGGTCTGCAAAAGGGCAAATGGGTCCTCATTTTAAAGACCAATAGGACTTTCTCTATAAAATCAAATTTGTGTACTTCTCGAAAATCAAAGACTAACTGGGTCTACGAATTGAAGCCATGAATGTCTTCATTTGGAGGTCAAACAGTCAAATGGACCTTTTTTTAGAAGTATTATTAGGATTATCCTTTAGAAGAGCAAAATATTATTTGATATTCAAAAGCAAGGCCCAAAAGTTCCTTCTTTAAAACAATAAAATTTCCTTAAGGGAACCCCCCCCATTCTCGATTTTTTATTTTTAAGATTTTAAATGGGCTGGTAAATGAATACCAATGCTTGTTAAGGTTTGTAACTTTGCACATATATATTTGAAGATTTAAAGAGGAAGAAAAATAATTTACAAAAAAAGTTTGTTGTTGTTTTGTTGTTGTTTTTTGTGATCAAAGAAAAGTCCTTATTTTTTATGGCGGGCATGATAACTCCTCACTGGAACATCGGAATCCGAAAATTCCAACGGTGTTAGAAAGAGTACATATTTGGCTCTCGTATGAACTAGGATTATTGACTTCGCTCTAAAATTAACAAAATGGCGGACCTTTGAAAAAATATTTTTGGAAAATCGCCGATTTTTTACCAAAAACCAAGTTAAAAAATAAGGAAGATCTTCACCGATTGGCTTTATCCTAGTTCATACGATAGCTATACACTCACAGAGAAACGTGTAAAAATTTGAAATCGATTGGGTTATTAGTTTTTGAGTTATCGTGCCCGCCATTCGCAAAAAAATGTTTAGAGAAAAACACGTTTAAAGTTTGAGAAGCCCTTCAGCCGTCACTTGATGCTGACACAATAAATCGGCTATATCTTCAAGAGTTCTTGAGATTTTTAATTGAAATTTTGCAGGGACATTCTTGAATTAGTGTAGATTGGAATTAAGTCAACAAAAATTTTGACCCCGAGAATGGGGGGGTCCCCTTAAAAGGCTAAAAAAACGTTCCTTTCATATAAAACCGAATGGTATACGCTGATTTTTATGTGAAGATCAAAAGCTGCTCCATTAGAGGGCAAAATTGATCTTTCTAAGTCTAAAACAAAAAGGTAAAATTTTCGAAGACCAAGTGAGGTTACAAAAGACCTTCCGGTCTTCAAAAGGAATACCAAATAAATGACAAAAAGATCCTTTTATTAATAGCCAAAAAAAGAACAAATGGTCAAAATTTCCCTAAACCAACAGGACTTCCTTTAGAAGACCAAATGATACAGTTATTGAAGAACAAATGGTCTTCCAACAGAAGGCAAAAAGTACCTTTCATAGAAGACGAATTGTGTTTTCCTTTTCCAAAAGGTTTTAATTTGGGAAGCGAAATTGGTCTTTGTTCAGAAGACTAAAAGGTAATGTTTTCGAAGACAAAATGCTGTTCCAAAAGATCTACTGGTCTTCAAAAGAAATACCCAATAAACGACAAAAACGAGGAGCCCAAAAGATGCTCCTTTTGGCCTTTAAATAGAAGACCAAATGACCCTTTTATAGAATACTAAATGATACTCTTTCTGAAGTTCAAAATCTCATCCTATAAAAAGAACAAGTGGTCTCCCAATAGATGACCAAAAGGACTTCATTTAAAATACCGATTGATACGCGTATTAAAAACCAATAGAAGACAAAAAGTACCTCTTATAGAAGACGAAATTGGTATGAAGACAAAATGGTGTTCTTTTAGAGGTCATAATTTGACTTCCTTCAAAAGACTAAAAGGGAATCTTTTCCGGAAAAATGACACAAAAAAAACATCCTCATTTGAAGTCCCAAAATATACTCCCATAGGGTCTTTTTATAAGAGTCCGATTGACCTTCCAAATAGTCCTTTTACAGAAAACTAAATGGTAACCCTTTCTGAAGACAAAAATGTCCTCCTATAAAAAGAACAAATTATCCCCCTATAGATAACAAAAGGAGACACCTATAAAAACCCAAATGGTCTAACTTTTGAGGACCAAAAGGGTCATCCTATAGGAGTCCGATTCGACTTCAAATAGAAGACTAAAGGGTACTTTTTCTGAAGACCAAAATTGTCTCCTTATAGATGACCAAAAATAACATTCGTTAGAAAAAATGGCCTTCATTTTGTAGAGATCGCTGTATGCCAGACCTTGTGGTTCTCATAGGGAAGATCAAAAGATCTTTCCCTAAATGACCAAAAGGAGTTCTTTCCTGCATCAAAAGGTCTTCCTGTAAAAAAACCAATTGAGATTTCCTTTTGAAAATTGTCTTCTACAGGAGACTAAATGATATTTCATTGAAGAACAAATTGTATTATTGTAGAGGGTCAAAAAGTCTTCAAATTCAATTCAAATCTCAAAAATTGTCCCCGTATTTTTTTTCTTCTCTTACCATACGAATAATTTCCGGATACACTGCCTCTGTAAGTACGCCTCGACCGTGTGTTATATAGGTGGATAAATCATTGAGGGCGGCACGTTTAATTTCTTTGCCCTTCAAATCTGTCACAGGATCCATAAAATCAAATGAAACGCAACACTGGCGCAATTTACGTATAAATAATTCTTCTTGCTCCAAACTAGAACAGTCGGCTATAAAACAAACACAGAAAACGAGAAAATTAATTAAACAAACTGGCATTTAAAAATAAATATCTAAATACCTTTTAGTGCCGGCAATTGTTGCAGTTCCACATCCTGTGAATTTCTATAGCGTGAGGAACCTTGACTCTTTTTACTTTTCTTTTTTAGTGAACGTTTGGCGAATGGATCGATTCGATCAACAAATGTTCCCGATGACATTTTTTCTTTTTCTGTTGTTGTTGCCGTTATTAGTATTGTTGTTGTTAGTGTTATTTATTTGTGCTTTTGCTGATCAACTTTGTTGTAATATTGTGTTTGGGTGTTAGTTGTTGTGTGGTGGCCGCGTACAAGCAGACGCCGCCTGCTGTTTAGTTGGGTTGTTGTTTTTGTGGCCTCTCGTCGTCGTATTGGTGATCCGCTTGCTGCCGCTACTTGTGTTGTTGTTGTGATTTTTTTTTTAATTTAATAGTATTTTCATGTAAATTTTCTTCTTTTGTTTTGTTGCAAAATCTGTAAATAAAGAAAAAGAGGAAGAAAAATTAAAACCCTTGTTTGTTATTAATTCCCAATGTCAGGGATAGGAAAAGAGGAATGAAAACATGTTTTCTTCTCGTTTCGTAAAGTGGAAAACAATGAAAGGCAATTGATTTCTTTGATTTCGGTTTTTATTGTTTTTAATCCCCCATCAAGAAGAAATTTTTATTCTCAAGATGTTCACAACAATTTTGTGATAGAGAGAAGGAGCTCCTACTCTATGCCCCCAAGCAAACGGAAATTGGAAATCTTTTTTCGCTAACAATTGCTAATATCTTTCGACATGACGCAAAACATTACGTCATATGGGTATATACATACAGTTGTTGTCGGCGAAGGAGATATGAATGGCCGTCCGGTCAATTAAAATGCATTCTAAATATTTGCTGTTAAAGATAAATATTGGAAATATTTGAAAAGCTAATTTTTTAATTGTTCCTCAAAGATGAATATCTGTTTTAAAATATGTATCAAATAGGGTGATATGTGATTATAATTAGAAAATATGTGACATCCAGAATACAAAGTATGAAATTATTTAAGTTGTAGAATGCTTCCTTCGGAAGACCAAGCCATCAGGCCGTATAAGAGGATACATTATGTTCAACAAATTGATTTAAATTATTCCCATAAATGATAAACATTCTGCCATTAACATAAAGATGGCCAAAAAATCTTCCTATAGAAAACTAAACGGTCTTCCTATAGCATTCCTTTAGAAGAGGAAATGAAGTCCAAACAGTCAGCCAAAAATTATCTCTTTACAAGACCAAAATGTCTTTCTTTTGAAGACCAAAAATAGGCTTTTCTTAAGCCGACCAAGATTTCATGGTATAGAATATCAAGTAATCACCCTATCGAAGAACAAATGGACTTCCGATCAAATACACCATACAATATTCCTTTAGAAGACAAAACTTCATTTCATTATAAGACAAAATGGAATTCATATAGTAGACAAAAAGAGTCTTCCTACGGAATACCGAAATGAAGGTACATTTACAAAAGTTTCTAAAAACCTAAAATACCCCAAAATGGTTATGGAAATTTGTGATCATGAGGTGTACGATAAGGTCAAAAATCAACATAGAATTGAATGATTTAAAAGAGATATCAATGTCTTCTCAGTGAATCAAATAAATACTGATTACTAAAAACCCTAAATATCTTATATTCCCTTTCAGAACCTAAATATATATTTTTATAGAAAACTTCCTCAGAATTATTAAAAGTGAGTGATCAATAACGAAGTCCTTGTTGTTTAATAGAACAACAAGGAATTTTGAATAGACCGCCTAAGGGTCATCTTATGAAGAATGTAAAGTTTGTATGTTTGTGAATGTAAAATATAAATTTGAAATGTTGCGGATAAGCATAGAAATTGTGGTCCTTGAAGAAATTCAGAAAGTCCTTAGCTTGTTGAAGTCTTATAGAAAACCAACAAATTATTGTATGAAATCGCAAAATTATTTCTACATGTTGGGGGGCAGTGGAAAGTCCAATCAAATTCATTGGGAAGCTGCTAATGAAATAAAATCGCAGACAACCAGCGAGTATTAGGAGAGAGGATCGGAGGAAATGGCAGAGTTCCCATTTCCCGCCTAATATGCCCTCCATAAGGCGGAGGTGTAGACGACCTATCTATTGCTGGTTTGTCAGATGGCTCTAAGATGAAACAAGACAAACATCTTTTCACACAAAAAATCTTAGCAATATCGAAAGCAGGTGAATTTTTCAACGAAAGTGGTATAAATATCCTAGGTCAAAAAGCAAATCATGATTTTGGAGGTGATCAGCTTGATTTACGCCGAGTCGTTAATTTATACGTGGATTTCAAGAGACAAATAAAAGTGAATGAGGTAACTTGCTCGCCTACGGTAAGCAGAACTGAATGCTAACGGACGCGTCTATACAGGTTGCGAATAGTGGAAGGCCCAATAATTTTCTTTGGGAGAGTCTCAGAGGGAATTACAGAGTTCCTATGATCCCAGGACTGACGAGGCGAGAATGGCGCCTTTCAACTATCCATTTAAAAGGTCTTAGGTCACTGCCTTTCAAAGAGACATCCCTAACGCTGGGGTGTCAAGCGACCTCGTGCCCATCAGTGTGTCACGGCCTTGTTGATACCTGGGCGCCTCAACTAGTTCTTCTGGCTTAGTTGACGAGTCTTTGCCATGGTACGATGGCCAACCTCAAATACTCACAAAATCCTTATTCTATGGAGCTTAGGAACCCGAAGCCCGTCTCCATCCGTCTTAGTCAGGAGTGCATACCGAATCAACTCTGGGACGACTCACCCTTGACAGACGAGGAAGACGTCATGAATACTACGGTGATTAGAACTACATTGAATAATATAAGAGCTATCCTGGTGACTCCTCCAAATCAAGGCGAGTCCTCTCAGATACTGAATAGGGACGCAAACCCTGGAGAGGAAGAGGATGCAAACTGCATTTCCGCGGGCTGTACTGAAGTATCAATACTTCTGAGGCAGCTGGTCGTCGAAGTGGATACTGGGGCCGATGAGCTCCCCATCGTAAAGATAGATGCACCATCGGAAAGGGGAACCACTAAACGAGCCAGCGCATAAGATATATCTGACAAGATTTACCGAAGAACGGCAAATTACTGCAATCGGTTTATCGGACGGGACAGAGACTCGAAAACGGACAACTCCTCCAAAGCAACCGAGGGTAAGGGACTGTCGACGTCAGCCTGACGGAGAGTCCGTAAAAAGGCCTTCAGGAAAGCTGAGTGGGCCCAAAAGACATCTTTTGTTGAAGACTAAGCTGTCTGATAATAAACAGCAAATTATATTTAAATAAAACTGTTTGCTCTTCATAAAAAATAAGAAGTTTTCGTTGTCATTGACCTTCTTCTGGAATTAAGAAAAAAAAAATAATAACAAGGGTTTCTCAAAAAATTCAAGCGGTAGTCTTATCGAATCGTCCTTAAAAAGAACATAGTTATATATGACTAGAAGGACACCTTATCTTTCCGAACATATTCTTGTTTTGGTTAATCCGCCACTATGAACATCTCATGGAGACCTTCATATACATAGAGGTCTTCTAAGGACAGAAGATTCATTTACCCATAGAAAAACAACAACATGGAAGATACCAGAAGTACCTCCCCCATAATGGGCAACATTTTCAAACTTTGTAAATTTTATATGTATAAAACAAACGGAATTTTAATATTTTAACCTGTCCTAGATCGAATTGCAAGATGGGACCTATCTGTTTACTGCTTCTGAAAAACTTAATTTTAATTAGGAGACAGGGCCCATTGGTCCATTCCTTCTGGTATCTCAATACTTTGTCGGTTTTTTATAGGACCTTTGTGGAATTTAGAATATGGAAATAAATTTATAATAAGGGGAGTGATTTTTCCGATAGAATATAATTCACGGAGTATCGTTTACATTCAATAAATATTCAATATATCGTCGATAGCCCCTTTTACAGACCTTCTACAGTCAGAAGACACTCAGGACCAGATTTGTAATGATAAAAAATACAAAGTTTAAAACATTGAAATATCCTATTCAATAGAAAACGTGTTCCATACTAAGAAGTGATTGTACAGGGGTCTAATATGGAGGTCGGTCTTTTATGGACAGAAAATCTTCCACTGTAGCCCTTTAGCAGGGTATTTATAGAACATTTTCAAGAGGGGTTCTTTAAGACATTTTTACTGGGGTTCTTAAGCAGCAGCAGTTCCTCTACAGACAGAAGACTTTTATGGATTCATGATTCATACATTGTTTGTGTCTAATATGGAAGTCTTTTATGGACAGAAAAAATTTTCCACAGTAGCCCTTCAGCAGGGTATTTACATAACGATTTTCAAGAGGGGTTCTTTTAGACACTTTTACAGTGAGTTCTTAAGGCAGCAGTTTCTTTATAGACAGAAGACATTTATGGGTCCATCCCTTATATATAGAGTTTTGGTCAAGTGAATGCACTTCTGATTTGACATTCATCACTGTGAGTGAGTACCCCACTGTGGCCAATTGCAAATAACTTATCTTCGTAATATGTCACCCACAGGACCTAAACAAAGCGTCAGCAGGGTATTTACATATCAAACATTTTCATGAGGGTTTCTTTAAAACATTTTTTCAGTGAGTTCTTAAGCCTGAAGACCTTTATGGGTCCATGCTTCATGTATAGTTTTGGTCAAGTGAATGCACTTCTGAATTGCCACTTCATGACATCCCTACTGTGGCCAATTGCAAATAACTTATCTTCGTAATATGTCACCCACAGGACCTAATCAAAGCTAACAAAGTTATCTATCTATCTCTCTCGACATTCCGTGAGTGGTTTTAACTTTCATATCTTTGGCGTAGTATAATCATATTTAATCCACACTCCATAGAGACCCGTTCGTTGTTATCTTATACTGACACCAAGCAGGCACCATAACCCATTGTTGTTGGTTGGTGCATTGAAAAAACAGAGAAGATTGTGTGATTGTTGTTGGTCGGTCGCTTAGTCGGTTGGTCGGTAGGTTGGTCTGTCTGCCAGTTTTGTAATTGCCAACAATTGCACAATTAGCATGCATGCCGCACATACCTCTCTCTTTGCTGTTTGTTGTTGTTGTTGCTGTTGTTGTTTATTATTACAATGATGAATAGTTGTTGTAGTTTTACTTTTGTTGTTGTTGAAGTAGTTGTTGTAGTAGTGCATTTAATGGAGGGATTGCATTTGATTACAATGTGTGTTTTTGTTGTTGGTTGGTT